TCTAGTCTATAGTCTAGTCTATAGTCTAGTCTATAGTCTAGTCTATAGTCTAGTCTATAGTCTAGTCTATAGTATAGTCTATGTCTATAGTCTAGTCTATAGTCTAGTCTATAGTCTAGTCTATAGTCTAGTCTATAGTCTAGTCTATAGTCTAGTCTATAGTCTAGTCTATAGTCTAGTCTATAGTCTAGTCTATAGTCTAGTCTATAGTCTAGTCTATAGTCTAGTCTATAGTCTAGTCTATAGTCTAGTCTATAGTCTAGTCTATAGTCTAGTCTATAGTCTAGTCTATAGTCTAGTCTATAGTCTAGTCTATAGTCTAGTCTATAGTCTAGTCTATAGTCTAGTCTATAGTCTAGTCTATAGTCTAGTCTATAGTCTAGTCTATAGTCTAGTCTATAGTCTAGTCTATAGTCTAGTCTATAGTCTAGTCTATAGTCTAGTCTATAGTCTAGTCTATAGTCTAGTCTATAGTCTAGTCTATAGTCTAGTCTATAGTCTAGTCTATAGTCTAGTCTATAGTCTGTCTATAGTCTAGTCTATAGTCTAGTCTATAGTCTAGTCTATAGTCTAGTCTATAGTCTAGTCTATAGTCTAGTCTATAGTCTAGTTTCTAGTCTAGTCTATAGTCTAGTCTATAGTCTAGTCTATAGTCTAGTCTATAGTCTAGTTATAGTCTAGTCTATAGTCTAGTTTCTAGTCTAGTCTATAGTCTAGTCTATAGTCTAGTCTATAGTCTAGTCTATAGTCTAGTATAGTCTAGTCTAGTCTATAGTCTAGTCTATAGTCTAGTCTATAGTCTAGTCTATAGTCTAGTCTATAGTCTAGTCTATAGTCTAGTCTATAGTCTAGTCTATAGTCTAGTCTATAGTCTAGTCTATAGTCTAGTCTCTAGTCTAGTCTATAGTCTAGTCTATAGTCTAGTCTATAGTCTAGTCTATAGTCTAGTCTATAGTCTAGTCTATAGTCTAGTCTCTAGTCTAGTCTATAGTCTAGTCTATAGTCTAGTCTATAGTCTAGTCTATAGTCTAGTCTATAGTCTAGTCTATAGTCTAGTCTATAGTCTAGTCTATAGTCTTGTCTATAGTCTAGTCTATAGTCTAGTCTATAGTCTAGTCTATAGTCTAGTCTATAGTCTAGTCTATAGTCTAGTCTATAGTCTAGTCTATAGTCTAGTCTATAGTCTAGTCTATAGTCTAGTCTATAGTCTAGTCTATAGTCTAGTCTATAGTCTAGTCTATAGTCTAGTCTATAGTCTAGTCTATAGTCTAGTCTATAGTCTAGTCTATAGTCTAGTCTATAGTCTAGTCTATAGTCTAGTCTATAGTCTAGTCTATAGCTAGCTATGTCTAGTCATAGTCTAGTCTATAGTCTAGTCTATAGTTAGGCTATAGTCTAGTCTATAGTCTAGTCTATAGTCTAGTCTCTAGTCTAGTCTATAGTCTAGTCTATAGTCTAGTCTATAGTCTAGTCTATAGTCTTAGTCTATACTCAGTCTATAGTCTAGTCTATAGTCTAGTCTATAGTCTGTCTATAGTCTAGTCTAGTCTAGTCTATAGTCTAGTCTATAGTCTAGTCTATGTCTAGTCTATAGTCTAGTCTATAGTCTAGTCTATAGTCTAGTCTATAGTTAGTCTATAGTCTAGTCTATAGTCTAGTCTATAGTCTAGTCTATAGTCTAGTCTATAGTCTAGTCTATAGTCTAGTCTATAGTCTAGTCTATAGTCTAGTCTATAGTCTAGTCTATAGTCTAGTCTATAGTCTAGTCTATAGTCTAGTCTATAGTTCTAGTCTATAGTCTAGTCTCATAGTCTAGTCTATAGTCTAGTCATAGTCTAGTCTATATCTAGTCTATAGTCTAGTCTATAGTCTAGTCTATAGTCTAGTCTATAGTCTAGTCTATAGTCTAGGCTATATAGTCTATAGTCTATAGTCTAGTCTATAGTCTAGTCTATAGTCTAGTCTATAGTCTAGTCTATAGTCTAGTCTATAGTCTAGTCTATAGTCTAGTCTATAGTCTAGTCTATAGTCTAGTCTATAGTCTAGTCTATAGTCTAGTCTATAGTCTAGTCTATAGTCTAGTCTATAGTCTAGTCTATAGTCTAGTCTATAGTCTAGTCTATAGTCTAGTCTATAGTCTAGTCTATAGTCTAGTCTATAGTCTAGTCTATAGTCTAGTCTATAGTCTAGTCTATAGTCTAGTCTATAGTCTAGTCTATAGTCTAGTCTATAGTCTAGTCTATAGTCTAGGCTATAGTCTAGTCTATAGTCTAGTCTATAGTAGTCTATAGTCTAGTCTATAGTCTAGTCTATAGTCTAGTTTATAGTCTATTCTATAGTCTAGTCTATAGTCTAGTCTATAGTCTGTAGTCTATAGTCTGTAGTCTATAGTCTAGTCTATAGTCTAGTCTATAGTCTAGTCTATAGCCTAGTCTATAGCCTAGTCTATAGTCTAGTCTATAGTCTAGTCTATAGTCTAATCTAGTCTCTAGTCTAGTCTTTAGTCTAGTCTAGTCTCTAGTCTAGTCTAGTCTCTAGTCTAGTCTAGTGTAGTCTAGTCTAGTCTAGTGTAGTCTAGTGTATCTAGTCTAGTCTAGTCTAGTCTAGTCTCTAGTCTAGTCTAGTCTCCAGTCTATAGTCTAGTCTTTAGTATAGTCTATAGTCTAGTCTATAGTCTAGTCTATAGTCTAGTCTATAGTCTGGTCTATAGTCTAGTCTATAGTCTAGTCTATAGTCTAGTCTATAGTCTAGTCTATAGTCTAGTCTATAGTCTAGTCTATAGTTTAGTCTATAGTCCAGTCTATAGTCTAGTCTATAGTTTAGTCTATAGTCTAGTCTATAGTCTAGTCTATAGTTTAGTCTATAGTCTAGTCTATAGTCTAGTCTATAGTCTAGTCTAGTCTATAGTCTAGTCTATAGTCTAGTCTAGTCTAGTCTAGTCTATAGTCTAGTCTAGTCTATAGTCTAGTCTATAGTCTAGTCTAGTCTATAGTCTAGTCTATAGTTTAGTCTATAGTCTAGTCTATAGTCTAGTCTATAGTTTAGTCTATAGCCTAGTCTATAGTCTAGTCTATAGTCTAGTCTATAGTCTAATCTAGTCTCTAGTCTAGTCTTTAGTCTAGTCTAGTCTCTAGTCTAGTCTAGTCTCTAGTCTAGTCTAGTCTAGTGTAGTCTAGTCTAGTCTAGTGTAGTCTAGTGTATCTAGTCTAGTCTAGTCTAGTCTCTAGTCTAGTCTAGTCTCCAGTCTATAGTCTAGTCTTTAGTATAGTCTATAGTCTAGTCTATAGTCTAGTCTATAGTCTAGTCTATAGTCTGGTCTATAGTCTAGTCTATAGTCTAGTCTATAGTCTAGTCTATAGTCTAGTCTATAGTCTAGTCTATAGTCTAGTCTAGTCTATAGTCTAGTCTATAGTCTAGTCTATAGTCTAGTCTATAAGTCTAGTCTAGTCTAGTCTATAGTCTAGTCTAGTCTAGTCTATAGTCTAGTCTATAGTCTAGTCTAGTCTAGTCTATAGTCTAGTCTATAGTCTAGTCTATAGTCTAGTCTATAGTCTAGTCTATAGTCTAGTCTATAGTCTAGTCTATAGTCTAGTCTATAGTCTAGTCTATAGTCTAGTCTATAGTCTAGTCTATAGTCTAGTCTATAGTCTAGTCTATAGTCTAGTCTATAGTCTAGTCTATAGTCTAGTCTATAGTCTAGTCTATAGTCTAGTCTATAGTCTAGTCTATAGTCTAGTCTATAGTCTAGTCTATAGTCTAGTCTATAGTCTAGTCTAGTCTAGTCTATAGTCTAGTCTATAGTCTAGTCTATAGTCTAGTCTATAGTCTAGTCTATAGTCTAGTCTATAGTCTAGTCTATAGTCTAGTCTATAGTCTAGTCTATAGTCTAGTCTATAGTCTAGTCTATAGTCTAGTCTATAGTCTAGTCTATAGTCTAGTCTATAGTCTAGTCTATAGTCTAGTCTATAGTCTAGTCTATAGTTTAGTCTATAGTCTAGTCTATAGTCTAGTCTATAGTTTAGTCTATAGTCTAGTCTATAGTCTAGTCTATAGTCTAGTCTAGTCTATAGTCTAGTCTATAGTCTAGTCTAGTCTATAGTCTAGTCTATAGTCTAGTCTATAGTATAGTCTTTAGTCTAGTCTATAGTCTAGTCTATAGTCTAGTCTATAGTCTAGTCTTTAGTCTAGTCTATAGTCTAGTCTATAGTCTAGTCTATAGTCTAGTCTTTAGTCTAGTCTATAGTCTAGTCTATAGTATAGTCTTTTCTAGTCTATGGTCTAGTTTGTAGTCCAGGTGTAGTCTAGTCTATATTCTAGTTATAGTCTAGCTCATAGTCTAGAATATAACTAGTCTGCTCTATAGTATAGTTCTAATCTAACCTAATTTAGTCTGTTATATTTTCTAGTCTACAGTCTAATATAGTCTATAGTCTAGTTTATAAGCTAGTAACATTTTAATATTTTAGTTTTAAAAGCCTGCTGCCGAGTGGAGTACTCATTGTATCAGTGTGAAGGTAGCTTAAGGTGCGTCCCTAAAAAATTTCACAGAAATCCCGTTTTTATATCGTAAAACATTTACTGTATTTTTCTTTAAAATTCATAGTAGTATTCACATAACATTTTGATCGATTTAACAACAGTTTTTAAATAAATATTTTATAATATATTTATAGGCGTTATAATGCTATAATAATATTATGTTTAAAAAATACAAAAACATATACAAGTAAATATAAATATAATTGTCTTAAACTTGATTAATATATAAATACGTACATATTGTTATCGTTTATAAAGTTAATTATTGAATTTAAGCAAAAATAAAATAGCAATTATTTTAAATAATTGTCAATATATAGTACTTAGGATTAATGCATATACATACATATAGTAGAGTAAGTTAGAGGCAGAGCTTGTGAATGATAAAATAGCATAAAATGATTTTATACATATAATTTATAAAGTGATCACATATGATAAAAAGCACCGTTATTTTTTCGAGAAAATAAAAATTCCATTAGATTAAGTAGAATTTGTTAGCAAATGATCTGTTTCCGAAACCGGAGCAGCAGCTTCCACATTGGTCGCATGTACAGGAGATGATGATGTAGAAGAATGTGTGCGTGTTGTGGGCAGATTCCAGGCTCTAGGACTAGTGCGACCAAAAATTACAAACAATAAATTGCCAAAAAAATAGAAACCAGCTGTTATATAAAACACTATACGCCATTGTAAAGGATTTGTCTGTAAAGTTAATAAATATTAATAAAAACTATATGAAAAATTTCAATATTAAATAAAATTACCTCATCTGTCACAATTAAGCCCACTGTCAAAGGGGCTATAATGCTCATTATATTAGCCGCGCAATTTGTAATGCCCATCAGTGTACCAGCAAAGTTGGGTGATAAATCTATATGATTAACCTGAAAGCCCAAGTACGTAGCCGCATTAGCACCCACTGCTATAGTTAACAATGCTATTGCCAATTTTGTGCTGTCACCTGTAGTTATATAGCCCAAACCGATTAAAGCCATCATCGGTATCCACATACCCAAGGTATTGAATAGTTTTCGTGAGAAAAACAAAGGCATAACACTATTATGATTGATGATATCGGCCACAAATATAAAACCATATGATAGCAATGTCATGGCTAAATAAGGTAAAGCGGAGAGTGGACCATTGCTGCGTATATCCATGCCTAAGATGTTTTTCATATATGTTGGAATCTCAGTTAGCAAAGTCCAGAAACCCCAATTATTGGCACAGTGCACTATGAGTAGTGTTAAAAATGGCACCGAGGTAAATATTTTCAACCAGGGTGTTTTTAATTCCGAGGCCTCAATTCTACCAGCATCTGAGGGTCTTCGTCCCGGACCGGAAGTCTCGATATAACGTCTTTCATTTACAGTTATAGTAGGATGTTCAGCTGGTGTACTGGCACAATAGAAATACCAAAAGACAGCCCATACCAAACCAGCTAAACCGGATACATAAAATATACTAGGCCAACCCATCCAAGAAGAAGCTATGAAACCACTTATCGACAGCATTATTACCGTACCAAATTGTGCACCCGAATAGCAATAGCTTACGAGGCGACCTCTCTCTTCAGCCGGAGCCCATTTCGAGAGAAAGGTATGCGTAGAAGGAAATATCATGCCTTGGCAGAGACCTTGAACCGAGCGCAGTATCAGTAGCAAAGGCCAATCACCAATTTCCGCAAAAAGGGGTGTTAATAAAGCCAGTACAGAGCATATTAGCACACCAAAAAAGAATGTAAATTTTGCTCCATATTTATGAGATAAATATCCACCAGGAACTTGTGTGATCACATAACCCCAGAAGAAACTGCTGAGCAAATAGGATTTGACACTCTCATCCCAGTCGAATTCCTAAAAGAAATGTTATTTAAAAAATTCGTTAAAAAAGTAAAAATGTTATAAGTAAGTATCGGCGCTTAATCAATAGCACATGCTTCGATCTAAGTTAAGATTATGAACTTCATACGTATAACTATAGTCAAGTTTATAGACCAAAACTTATGTTATAAACAATCCTACTAGACTAGACTACCGACTAAAAAATAGACTTGACTATATATTAGACAATAGACAAAAAGAGACTCCAAACTATAGATTAAAGTATGGACTAGATTATAAACTAGACTATAGACTAGACTATAGACTAGACTATAGACTAGACTATAGACTAGACTATAGACTAGACTATAGACTAGACTATAGACTAGACTATAGACTAGACTATAGACTAGACTATAGACTAGACTATAGACTAGACTATAGACTAGACTATAGACTAGACTATAGACTAGACTATAGACTAGACTATAGACTAGACTATAGACTAGACTATAGACTGGACTATAGACTAGACTATAGCCTAGACTATAGACTAGACTATAGACTAGACTATAGACTAGACTATATACTCTACTATAGACTAGACTATATAATAGACTATACTTGACTATAGACTAGACTATAGACTAGACTATAGACTAGACTAAAGACTAGACTATAGACTAGACTATAGACTAGACTATTGACTAGACTATAGACTAGACCATAGACTAGACTATAGACTAGACTATAGACTAGACTATAGACTAGACTATAGACTAGACTATAGACTAGACTATAGACTAGACTATAGACTAGACAAGACTAGACTAGACTAGACTTGACTAGACTAGACTAGACTAGACTAGACTAGACTAGACTAGACTAGACTAGACTAGACTAGACTAGACTAGACTAGACTAGACTAGACTAGACTAGACTAGACTAGACTAGACTAGACTAGACTAGACTAGACTAGACTAGACTAGACTAGACTAGACTAGACTATAGACTAGACTATCGATTAAACTATAGACTAGACTATAGACTAGACTATAGACTAGACTATAGACTAGACTATAGACTAGACCATAGACTAGACTATAGACTAGACCATAGACTAGACTATAGACTAGACTATAGACTAGACTACAGACTAGACAAGACTAGACTATAGACTAGACTATAGACTAGACTATAAACAATCCTACTACACTAGACTACCGACTAAAAAATAGACTTGACTATATATTAGACAATAGACAAAAAGAGACTCCAAACTATAGAATAAAGTATGGACTAGATTATAAACTAGACTATAGACTAGACTATAGAATAGACTATAGACTAGACTATAGACTAGACTGTAGACTAGACTATAGACTAGACTATAGACTAGACTATAGACTAGACCATAGACTATACTATAGACTAGGCTATAGACTAGACTATAGACTAGACTATAGACTATATACTAGACTATAAACTAGACTATAGACTAGACTATAGACTAGACTCTAGACTAGACTTTAGACTAGACTATAGACAAGACTAGACTATAGACAAGACTAGACTATAGACAAGACTAGACTATAGACTAGGCTATAGACTTGACTATAGACTAGACTATAGACTAGACTATAGACTAGACTATAGACTAGACTATAGACTTGACTATAGACTAGACTATAGACTTGACTATAGACTAGACTATAGACTAGACTATAGACTTGACTATAGACTAGACTATAGACTAGACTATAGACTAGACTATAGACTTGACTACAGACTAGACTATAGACTGGACTATAGACTAGACTATAGACTGGACTATAGACTAGACTATAGACTAGGCTATAGACTAGACTAGACTATAGAGCAGACTAGACTATGGACTAGACTATAGGCTAGACTATAGACTAGACTATAGACTAGAGTACAGACTATACTATAGACTAGATTATAGACTAGACTATAGACTAGATTTCAGACTTGACTATAGACTAGATTATAGAATAGACAATAGACTAGACTATAGACTAGACTATAGATTAGACTATAGACTAGACTATAGACTAGACTATAGACTAGACTATAGACTATACTATAGACTATACTATAGACTAGACTATAGACTAGACTATAGAGTAGACTATAGACTGGATTATAGACTAGACCATAGACTAGACTAAGTAGTAGACTATACCATAGACCAAACCATAAACTATACTATGGGCCAAGCTTTATAGTAAACTATGAACCAAAGAACGGACTACAGATATAGACTAGACGACAGTCAAAACTAGTCTAGTCAATGCTAAAGTCAAACTATAAAACTCTAAATTTTTGTAGTATTTAGCCCACTGTGTATATAAAATATTTTCCAAACGAACTCATACAAGTTATATGAGCGGCCACGTCATACCTTACTTGAACTAAAATTATGTTTGTTGTCTTTCATTCCATTTTGTATTATTCACATATTCAGCTCAAATACACAACAATTTGCGCAGAGAAAAAACATACACATTCAAAAATACAACCCTGCAGTTTAAAGGGTGACAATGTTTACCCTTATTTTGAGATGTAAAACACAATTGATTACCATCACAGGCAATATAACGTGCAGTTAAATGCCACTTGATTGATTCTCTGTTATCTAGAGTGCAACCAGTTTAAATTTCTTTAGATCTTAGGATTTTTTCTAACATACACGCTTAATAAATATCAGGTAAAATCTGGAATTTTTGTACATGCCCCAGAATTATTGGGTATTTTTTTTCTTTCTATTGAGCCTTAAGAGTGAAAGAGACAAAACTATGAAAATTTGTTCAAACTGGTTGTCAGACTAAACATATTTACACATGAAAACTGCACAAACGAGGGGATATTGTTCAGTTTAATATGAATTTTAAAGTGGAAACATGTGTGTTCGCTTAAAATCTTATAGCTGATGGAATATATTTTAAAAATTTTTTTTAAGAAATACACAAACACACCCTTGTTTGTGCAGTAACAGTGAGTTGCGGCAATAATTTGAAGCGGTTGAGCGAAAGTGTTGTTTTTTTATTTGCGCAGTAAACGTAGTGCTTTATATTTTTATGAAATTTGATTTGTCTATTTGTGGTGACTGTACCTTAGTTATTATCAGCAGACCCTGGGATCTTGGAAAATAGTTGAAAGAATCATGGAAAAAGAACATATGAAATTTTGGCAAGAATTTTTCCATCTTTATAAAGAACTACCCGCTTTATGGCGTGTTAAAAGTACCGAATATTCCGATCGTACTTTAAAAGCCAATTGTTATTCCAAACTTGTAGCAAAACTAAAAGAAATTTATCCGGATGCCGATCGTGAAATGGTTGTAAGAAAAATTAATAACTTTCGTACGTCATACAGAAAGGAATTGAGAAGAAAGAGAGAAAGTCAACGTTATGGTAGGGTACATAAGCCCACACTATGGTATTTTGATTGTTTATCGTTTTTGTATGATCAGGATGAGTGTGGTTGTGGTAGAACATCGGTGTGCGAAGAAGAGGGTACAGAAGAGGTAAATATTGGTATCTGGTTACTTTAGTTAATATTATAAAGTAAATTTTTATGTTTTTTTAAAGAAAAAACCAACAACTCAAAAT